CTACTATACCACAGAGAGCCTGCAAGCTAAATTTTTCGTTTATACCTAAAGCTATCGCTAGAATCTTTTCCCAGAGCAGTTTTTCCCAGTTTGTGCAGTGCCTAAAGTGACAGTGATAAAGGGAATGCTGAGGCAATCAGTTAAAAAAAAACAAATCTAGTGCCAGCAAATCTGGAGTACTTACACTGTCTGGGCTCTTGTGCAAGAGACCTTGAAGGCAAGAGAAAGTGACCAGATGTGGTTTAAAGGAAGTATATTGTTTCTGTGGATGGATTGATGTTAATTCTCTGATCTTAAACTAAATGAAATATTGATCATATACTGTAAAACTGTTGATCACAATGGCAATTTTGTTGCTTAAGTGATTTACACTTGTAAAACATATCAGCTGGCAGCCTAATGAAAGCATGTTAGAAAGCACTTGTTCAGCAGGATGGTCATTAGTGTTCTCTTATTGCTCATTCCAAGAGTAACTAAAACGATGGACCTGTGGGTGGTGCCTGTGAGCATGCACAGGCCGTGCAGAATTGGTCCTGCCGCAAAGGGTGAGCAAGCTACACCTGGAATAACATCGTTATTCAAAGTGTCCCACAGCTGAGAAGGGCCTCAGCTGTCCAAGACTTTGGTGGGACTGAAGACATTTAGCAATTTTAGTGGAACCTCCTTGCCAAGCTGAGTGCAAAACAAAAAAGGGTTTAGAACAAAATGAGCAAAGGAAAATAAAAGTGTTGCTTCCTTGAATATGAAGCTTTTTATTTTTAAAATATAAGCATAAATTAATGTCTCAGTAACAGCTGTAGCCATTTAAATATGGGCAAAATGTTTGGAGGTACAAATTCCGGAGATAAGATTTCCAGCTGTATCACCAGGCTGAATTCATTATGCCTGACAATGGCCCCAGGAGCTAGGCAAGTATTGTTATACCAATGCCTTGCATTTCTCTTGGAGGCAGTGGAGGTACTTGCACTAGAATTAACTGTACACAACTGCAAGTGTCCACAGGGTTAGCCCCAGACCGTAGATATTTATGGAGGTAAATGTTACCAAGAAGTGGGAATTAGTTTTACAAACCCTCCAAGAGCTGAAGCAAATGGCATGGGCTAAGTGTAATGATCTGCCCAGGAAGATTGCTCTGTAGAAATAAGGGCACATCTGCTTCAGCAGCAGCATGGTCCTGAGTGGAAAGGGGCAGGGTTCAGAAACGTGACTTCCCAGGTACCTGGGCATTTGCATTCCTTGCAATCACCACTTCTAATGTGTATCTAAAACACATTTGACAGTAAAACATAAGACAGTGGTCATAGGAGGAGCCTAAGAAACATTTGCTGCTGGACCCTCTTCTGCTTTAAGCAACCTTGCTCTGAAATATAAGTATGGATGCTTTATTTGGGTGACTATTCTGATTATGCAGTCCACAAGACTGAAAATAGTTCAGCTGTACATCATATTTTTGTATGTGTAGTAGCTCCTAGATGGGGTTTGCCATCCAAGGAGCAAGCCAGCCATGGGAAGGCAGAAATCCCCTTTCCCTCCTCCTGCAGGAGGCCTGGGCAGGTTCCGGTTGAGATTCAGCAAGGATTACCTGATCTCAGTGAGCAAGGCTCACACCTTGGTCTTTACTTGTGGGTTTTACGGCCTGAAGACAAAGTCGAGGTACAAAGAGGGCTGTGTGTCCCCCATGTACTTTTTGAAAGGAAAGGAGGAAACAGGAGAACACATGGGGAAAGTGGGGAAAGGGAAGAGAAGGAATAAAAGACTTTCTGACCAGTGGTAATGCCTGCAGAGAAGCTGTCTGATCTTGAAATGGGATTGAATGAGCAATTAGACTGTTGAGTACAAACTGAGGACTGACCTACGTGCTTTGTGTGCTTTCAAAATTACTCTGGCTGTAATGATAGAGGCTTTTTGCAAGTCTTCTGTCTCCCCTTTTGCAACGTATTTTTTTGTAACACTAGCATGTTCCTGACCTCCAGTTGCTGCCTGGGCCCTTAACCAGGCTGGGAGGGGGGGAGCGGGGGGAGGGAGGAAAGGAGAATTGGGGGGAAAATATGCATAAAGATACAGGGATAAGTTCAGTTTGTTTTCCTCTGAAAGCTTTGACACTTGCTTAGAGCAGATTCATTTTCAAGGCTTCCTACATTCCTGCTATTGTACAGTAAGTGTTTCAGACCGGTGTGCCTGTGTTTCCGACTCCCGTGAAGTCCCCTTTGCAGCAGGGCGTGCCTCGAACCGCTTCAAAAGAACCAACTTCTACAAAAGAAAAAAAGAAACTCAAGTAGGCTTGAACATACAAAGAGAAGGAGAAAGGAAAGTGAAAAGGGCCGGGCAGTGTTGAATACAAAATGAGTTCAGCCAGCCCCAGGAGTTCTTCATCACTTACATTTATCTTATTCTGGGAGAGCAGAGCTAAACCCAATGCTGACATAAACCACCCTTTGCCTTTGACTTTGACTCTGTGCACGCACAGCAGATACAGGCATACAGAGACCACTGGATTTCAATGAAACATTTTATTCCCCTCTCTGAGCAGTGGTGTTGGTGGGGAAAATGGCTTTTTGTGTGTGTCCTTTCAAAGGCAAACTGTGCAGTGAGTCTCAGATGCCTCCAGTTTCAAAGCGTGCATGCGCTCACAAAACACACACTTGAAAAATAAGCAGCTTATTATTAGTGTTTCCCACCCGGGAAGTTTTCCCATCCCAGGAGCATGCTGAGGTGCCTGGCGGATCTCGCCAGTGCTCCATACAGTCACTGAGGTACAGCTAAGGGAAGTCCCCAGCACTTGCCACCAGCCCTGGGGTATCCAGAGGCAGGATCTTTCCAGGGCATCAGCCACCTTGCATCCACATTAGAGGCTAATGGGATGCTGCTTCCCTCTGTTCCCAGAGTTCAGTGGATGGTTGGTGGGATAGAGGATTGGACTTACTGTCAAGGAGGCCCAAAGCCACACAGCCCACTAGCCTGGAGGGAGATGTTTAAGACTTACTACACCAGCCTGGCTCTCTCCATGCTGGAAGCTTGCTAGGCTTGAGGAAACAGGTGTCAGTGGCTACTGCTTAACAAAGTTCCTGCTCATTTCCAAACTTATTTCCAAGGTTTGGCCCGTGGTCCTTGCATGGAACAGCTCACAGCCACGGCACCCAGTGCCCAAACGGGGAACATGCAGGCTTAACCCTGGGGAAGAGAGCACAGCAGGGCTGCTGGCAAAGCACACCTGTGCCACGGGCACCCAGGAAGGGAGCACGTGGTGCTGGTGGACTGAAAGAGAAGCTGGGGGAAATTTAGCCAGCAAACAGCACCATGCAGCACAGTGCTGAGGAGTTTGCCTCCTGCTAATGATAGGAGCATTTATTGAAGGGGGGAGGGAGTTAAACAATAGGAGAGTATAAAAGTTTTTACTAGATACAAATAGATGGTCTGGCAACTTTATGGATCCTATACAGAAAGAAGGTATTGACTTCTACTCCTTACCATCTTTCTTACCGAGTAAGTTACTTCCATTTTGGTCAGAAACTGACAACTTGTTTTAGGGGGACCCGGCGGCTTTTACCTTTGAAACATACTTGCCAGCGGAAAAAAAAAAAAAAAAAAAAAAAAAAAAAAAAAAAAAATAGCGAAGGTCTGCCTCGGTTAGTTTGTTTTTAAAGAAAGCAGACCCTCAGCATCGCGCGTTCTCAATACCATCCAGTTGTTTGTGGAAGGTGGGCCCCAGGCGCCTGCCATGCGCCAAGTGTGCCCAGCCAGCTTCAACTAGTGAGGCTGCTCACTCCATGTCACTGCCGCTCGGCTTTGAGCTGCTGGGCTCCCTCGCTCCCTCCTCGGCCTGCAAGTTATTCACTTTTGAAAAAACATATCTACCTCATACTGTGCCCATCACTTTGTTCTCCACACGCCTATTCACACGGGCAAACCTCCACTTCTCCTCTCCAGGCAGGCGGCGGTGGCGGGAGGGGAGGCAGCGCGGAAGGGAAGTTAAGATGCGTGCACGGAGCTATTTCCCTCTCCACCACCTTTGGCCAGCTATTGTTGGCCCAACAAAAGGACTCGCTCGCGGGGGATCGGGACCCTGCCGAAAACGTGGCAGCTCCGGGGGCAATGTGCTGTCCCGCCTGCCAGCGCCACCGCTTGTCACCTACCGGGTCCCTTGTGGGCTTCTCGCGTGTCCCCGGGATTGCCGCTCTAAAACCGAGGGCATTCCCTCGGCGACTTCGCGGCCGAACCTCCGCACAGCAGCGCCGCGCTCCCTGCACCGCCGCCCGCACCGTCCTGGCCGGCAGCGCTCCGCACCGACACCTCGGGCAGGGTCGGTGCGGCCGCGACGAGAGCCGGACGGACCGACGGCTGCTCCCGCCAGGCGTGGGGAGGCCAAGGCGGGCATTTACCGGAGCCTCCGAGGTTTGGCCAGCGGCGGCTATAAGGGGCGGTGTTTCCCCAGGCGGGCGCGACGGAGCGTCCTCAGAGAATGCAGCAGCGGGAGAACCTGGTGTTACCTGGTGTGGGTTCCCTCTGTCAGCAGAGCCGCCCGCCGCTGCCCGGCGCGGGGCTCTCGCCGACACCCCCGTGGGGCAGGGCCGCGGGGCGGCCGCGCCGTCGGGGCGCTCCCCGGCACCCCCACCCCGTTCCGCCCCGCCGCGCGCGGGGAGGCCGCCCGGCGCGCGCCTGCCCGGGGCGGGGCGGGGCGGGGCGGGGCAGCGCGTGCCGCCGGCCCGGGCTCGCGCCCCCCCCCGCGCCCCGCGCACCATTGGCTCCCCGCACGCGCCGGCCCCGCGCGCGCGCGCGCCATTGGCCGCGCCGACACGCGACCGGCGCGAGTGGAGGGCGTGCGGCGGGAGGGGTGGGGCGCGAGGGAGAGGAGGGGAGGGGGAGCGGGGGCGGGGGGGACCCCGGCGCGTGCCGCTCCTTAAAGGGGGGCGCGCGCCCGGCCGACACCGGAGCCGTCGGGGCGCCACGCGCGAGGCGGGGGCTGCGCGCGGCCCCGTCCATGGGCGCGCGGCGATAGAGCCATGAGCCTGCCGTGGGCAGAGCGCGCCCGGGAGCCGCCGGGGCCGCCGGAGCCGCCGCCGGGCCCGGAGCAGAGCGGGTGCGGCGGCTTCGCGCCCGGCTCGTGGCTCGGCGTGTGCTGCGCCGCCCGCCTGCCCGCCGCCGCCTCGCCGCGCTACCTGCTGCCCGGCGAGGACGAGGAGGCGGCGGCGGCGGAGGGTGGCGCGGCGCGAGGCGGCGGCGGGAGCAGCCCCGGCGGGGCGCGGGGCGGCGGGCGGCCGCGGGGCGGCGGCGGCGGCCCCGGGCTGCGGGCGCAGGTGAGCGGCGTGCAGAAGCAGCGGCGGCTGGCGGCCAACGCGCGGGAGCGGCGGCGGATGCACGGGCTGAACCACGCCTTCGACCAGCTGCGCAATGTCATCCCCTCCTTCAACAACGACAAGAAGCTCTCCAAGTACGAGACGCTGCAGATGGCGCAGATCTACATCAGCGCTCTGGCCGAGCTGCTGCACGGCCCCGCCGCCCCTCCCGATGCCGCCGGCAAGGCCGAGCACCGCGGGGCCCCCTTCGAGCCGTCCTGCCCCGCCGCCGGGGCCGGAGCTCCGCCGGGGCCGCCGGCGCCGCCGCCGGGGCCGCCCAGAGCGTCGCCCCCCGGGCACGGCAGGACTCGCTTCCCCCCGCCGCCGGCTGCGGGGGGCTACTCGGTGCAGCTCGACCCGCTGCACTTCTCCTTCGCGGAAGGCGCCCTGATGGGACAGAGAGCCCCTTCCCCCGCCCTCCTCATGCCACAGCCCGGGCAGCCGCCGCAAGAGCGGAGCAAGACGTCTCCCCGATCCCACAGGAGCGACGGGGAGTTCTCGCCCCGCTCTCACTACAGCGATTCGGATGAGGCCAGCTAAGGCAGGGGCGTAGTCCCCGGCACTTCGCAAGGCCGCCCCTCGAAGCACAGACTCCGCCGTAGGGTGAGCAGCCGGACGCGGTGCCACCACGGACAGCATCGGCTCCCCTCGGTCGCTTTGAAATCCGCCCCCTCGTCTCCCACCCCCAGCAGCCCCTGGTTTGTCCGGGGGGGTTGGCTGTTAGCGAGTGACTGTACCCGCCCTGTCTGTCGGGGTCGGTTGGTTTGTTTTCGTTTTTAGTTTACACTTCGAAAGTTTCTTTCGCCTAGAAGTCTTTGCCGTTCCCTTCTGCCAACGCGCCACCTCGCAGCGCGGAGCCCGGCTCGCCCCGTCGGCGAGCAGGTGATGCGCACGGAGAAAGCCTGGCCCCGCTGCTGGGGGTGCCGCCGGCGCCATCCATCTCCACCCGGCCGTGAACCCGCCCTGACACCCCCGTCTTCCAGGACACCGATCCTGCCGTGGGTCGCATTGCTGTGGAAACACACAAACACACACACACACACACACATACACAAAAAAGTCAATAACGCACCGTCTTGTCCTGTAAATAGCGGAGAAAAATTGGATTTTCCTTAGTGCACCATGTCGGCGTCTTTTGGGGGGAAACTTGGCGCAAGCACTTTATCAGCGGCTGGAGATGCAGTTTCAAGAGGAAAGCTACTAACTGCCAATTGGAGACCAATGTTTAATTAAGCCACTTAATCCTAACGCTCTCTTAAAAACGAAAACGGTTTTGTCGTGTCAAACTTTTATGTCAGTTTTATTTTCCTTTTGTGGTAATAGGAAACGTATTTATTATGCAGTGTTTGCAATTATTTCTGCTTCTCTGTTTTTTTAACAAAAATTCTTTTCTACGACGAAAATCGTTTATTTTGATTCTAGCAACGCCAGCTGCCATTGTCTTATGTATTTTAATTTTAAATTTTTTTTGAGATCAAATAAACCTGGAAAAAAAAAACAACAAAAAAAAAAACCAACCAAAACAAAGTCAGCCTCAAAGCGTGGTCAGGTTCAACTTCTCCCCTCGCCCTCCCCGAGCCGAGGTGGCGTCAAACTCGGCGGTGGGAGTGAGAGATACCGAGCTGGGGGCAATGCTCCGGGGAGCCGATGGGACACCCCGGCTGCCTGCAGAAGGACGGACGGACCCCAGGGCCGGGGTCCGAGGCGGGCTCTGTCCCGAGTGGAGCAGCGCTACCTGCGCTCCCTGCGCCGCCGGGACCGTGTCCCTTTTCTGTCCCGCAGTTCCCAGCGGAACCGGGGTAATTGCAACAAGTGCAGGGTAAGGAGCTTGTCGCTTCTCTGTTGCACCTGTCCCCGCACCGCCATTCGAGTCACATCATTCCCTTCTTCCCCACTCCTTCCCCACTCCTCCCCTTCTCGGGGATACGATACGCATCTCCCCACGGAGTCTCCTCGGTATAAGCCGAGCGGAAAGGTCTGGGAGCGGACGGGGAACCCGGCGGGGTTTAGGGGACACGCGAGCAGCCGGGGAATCAGGATGTGGCCCCTGGGCTCGGGTTAAACCCGGACGGGAGTGGGGGATTGGCTGATGCTTAGCCCAGCCTGTCCCTGACACCAGACCCGGGGCTCAAGCGGAGCCGTGTCAGTGCCGGGGTCCCGCTGGGTTCAGCAGGTGACACTGGGAGGGGGGTGTCGGAGAGGTGATCAGTTAACCAGGCGCGGCCGAGGGAGCGAAGCCCAAGAGGGTGTCACTTTCCCTGGAGAAACAGGGCACCTGCCCCCCCGGTAACCTCGCGCTGTCGCTCTGCCCTGCCCGCCGCCAGCACCTGCGGCCGCTGCCCGTACCTGCTGAAGCAGGGTACGGTCCCGCAGGGTGCAAAGTTTATCGGGAGGGTAATTTCCCTTCCTAATAAAACGCCTGCTTTGCCGGGGTAGGTCAGCTTTGGTTACCAGCACTGATTTCTGTGCTGTGGAAGCCGCATCTTGATGTGGTCTCTCATCTTGAGGGGCACGCGAGGGGTCCCATCACGGGAGTGATGCGGCGGAGCAAAAACCACCAACTTTGGGAGTGTTGTTTTGTTTATTTGGTTTAGTTTGGGGATGCATCCGGCGAGGGGGAAGCAGCGGCCGCCGCCGTGACTGAGGGGCAGCACTCGCGGAGGAGTCCCGGCGGTGCCGGCCGTGGATTGAAGGGGTGCGTGCAGCCTCTCCCCGCCCCGCCGTCCCGGGCTTTGCCTCTGCGGCTGCGAACACGCGAGGTGGTGGAAAAGAGCGCATCAAAATCCTCCCCTCTCCCTCGGTCGAGTCCTTCTCCCGACAGACGAGCGCACCGCATGGCGCGGCTGGTTCTCGCAGCCGCAGCAGCACTCACTGTCTGAGGGGCTTTTTCTTGTTCTTTTTTTTTTTTTTTTTTTTTTTTTTTAACGCTTCTTTGAAAGAGATATCCAGCCGCATTCCCATTTTAAGGTTCAGCTATAGAGTTTGCATAACAACCGCTTGGCAGCCCCCCTCTCTTGCACTCCGTTAACAAGCTGTAACGTATAGCTGCAGGTTGCTATAATCTCATTAATATTTTGGAAACTTGAATATTGAGTATTTCAGACCGCTCATTCCCCATATGCCAGGCCACTCCCGCTATGCTGGCTGGTTCCTTTCTCTCCATTATTAGCAATTAGCTCCTACCTTCCAAAGTCAGATCCAAGTATCCAAGATACTAGCAAAGGAATCAACTATGTGTTGCAAGCTAAGCATGCTTAATATCTCCCAAACAAACAAAGAGACAACATTTCTTTAAGTAATGAAGATGGATAAATCGCTTTATTGAGCCTGCGACAGTGTTTGTTTTGTATAGACTACCGCAAAGTTTTTTAACAAGAGCCGGGACGCGCACTAGCCCCTGGAAGCAGTCTCGCCCGGTTTGCTTCGTGGGGTTTATCATCCTAAACGGGCTTTTATTTGAAAAGGGCGAGTCAGAAGCGCACTATCCGAGCGTTAAATTTTGGCTGAACGCTGACTGTCCTCCGGGGTGTGCGAAAGGACCGCGGGCGCTGGGGGGGCTTGGGGAGGGGGTCGCCTTTGTGTGAGGCGCACGGTGACTCCGTTGACTTTTGAGCCCGGGTCGCCGGATGAAGCGCGGCCGCGGGCTGCGGTGCGGGGCTCTGCCCGGCCGTTCCGGCGGCGGCGATTTCGGGGGACGGAGCGGAGCCGAGCGGGGCGAGGCGCGGCGGCCGAGGCACGTCTCTGCCCTGCAGCTCTCCGGCTGCTGTTTGCTCAACCTCTGGCCTCGGGAAGGGAGGAGGAAGAGAAGGGGGAGAAAGAGTTAAACCCAGCGAGGGGAGACCAGAAAAGCGCAGGGACCACGGGGGGGCGGGGGGGTTTAGAAGGAGAGTTGGCCATGGGGCCAGTGTTTCTTAATTAGAGCGGGGCGGACAATGCTTTGGGGCGGACAATGAGGGGGACAGGGGGGCTGGAGGGCGGAGGGGGGGTCTGGCCTCGCTCCCGGCCGCGGTGCGCCGTGTCTGGAGCGGAGCACGCGTTGTCAGCTGGTGAGCGCAGCGGCCTTTCAGGCGGCTCCCCAGGGAGCTGCGCGCCCGCGGTGAGCTCCATCGTCACCCCCTCCCCTCCATCATCATCATCATGGGCCTCCTCCTCCTCGGCGGCCCCCCACCCCAGCCGAGCACAACAGCCAGCATTCAAGCCCCCTTCCCTCCCTCCCCTGCACAACAGCAGCGCAGTGGCAGCCACGCCACCTCCCAGCAACCAGCAGCACGCGAGGGCACCGCCGGGGCACCTGAAAGAGTCAAAGCCAAAGAAAGGGAGACAAAGGAGGAGAAAAAGATACGTAGGAACGGCCCAGCGTGTCTGCTCCGACAGAGGGACGGGCGAGCCCACGCGGAGGCCGGCACGCACGGGCGTGCACACGCGTGGCCGCATGCACACACGTGCACTCGCTCGCAGGGGTCCGAGCCGCTGCAGCGCCGACGGACACACGCAGAAATTCAAAAATCCCCCCGTTCTGCTCAGGAGCACAGGGACGAGCCCCGGCAACTTTGCGCCCCACATCCCCGTCCCCGCGAGGGGATAAAGCTCTGGCTTGTGTTTCTCTGTGTGCCCGACCCCCATGGCCCCACCTCTGGCACTGCCACCCACGGGCACAGATGCGGATACGCGGCAGGAGCTGACTTTGTGTCTGGTCACCCACCGTCGCGTGTGTCCGTGACGTGTCTGTCCGGGAGAGAAAAGTGAGGGGATAGTGGCGAGGGATCGGCTTGTGCGGGGGTGAGGTGGGGATCTTTCTAGCCCCACGTGGGGAGCATCCTCTCCGCCTGCAGGCCAGGCTGGAGCGAAGAGCTGCCGGCTCACTCTGGGGGACAAGTTTTCCGCCCCTGGCCAAATCATTGCAACACGGAAAGGGCTTTCCTCGGGGCTGTGTCCCCGCCGGGGTCGGGGCTGGGGCTCACGACCGGCTGCCCTCCCGGAGCTGGGTTGGGGCCACAGAAAACCACATGCTGCCCTGCCGCCACTCCATGTTAACTTCAGGCATACTCTGTCTAAGGACGTTTTCCAGCGCTGCTGCAGCCTCGGGAGTGGATGGGAGCGCGGCTCCGCGGGCTGCGCTGCACCTGTGCTATGGGTGCGCTGCTCATGTGCGGTGGGTGTGCTGCCACTGCCGCCGCTGGCCATTTCCAGGCTGCCCAGAGCGGGGCAGACAGAAAGGCCTCTTCTGAAGTGCTATCGAATGGCTCGGGATGCCTTCGGGAGCCCAGCCAAGGCGTGTCAAAGGCGGTTTGAGCGGTGAAGCATTTAAACGCTACAATGGGTGACTTTCTGGCGTGTGCTTTTCTCCCTCCCTGCTTAGGCCCGGGAGGAGGAAGCAGGCCTTTTTACTGAGCTCCTCCAGCGGTGGATGCGACACCCCCAGGCCCCCAGCCCGGTGCCGCAGCCGGGCTCTTCCCCGGGGGACGCCAGCGGCGGAGGGGCCGCCTCTGCCCCGTCGGGCAGCGGGAAGAGCTCAGATCTTCCGCCGCTGCCCGCAACTTTGCGCTCCCAGCTGGGTTTAACCGAAGCTGCTCGGGGTGGGGAGGTGCCGGCCCGTCGCACCCGCTGCAGCACGGAGTGCAGCTGAGACTTGAGATGGGAGCTTGTGAAGCGCGGGGATGGGCTCTCAGCAGTGCTGGCAAGGAAGGCGAGATTTGGGGGTGGGAAAGCAAATCCCCCTCCGTTTCCTAAGAGATTCCTTTTCGTATTTCATCCCAGGTTTTCCTCCGTTTTTGGGGTTTTTTGTTGTTGTTTTTGTGGGGTTTTTTTTGTTTGTTTTTGTTTTGTTTTTCTCTTCTCCTGCTCTGCCCTCTCT